TTCAGATCTGGAAAAAAAAATCGAAAAATACATAAATAAAGATAGAAAAATAACGAGACAGAGGGCGAGGTCTTCATACACAAAATCACCCCGGCATATCTTCACCCCAAACGACCCTCCATACTTTAACAAAGGTTGACGACATGATGTGCAGCCCTACAAAAAAAACATGAGAATGTGACTACAAACAATGTGACTACCGAATTGTGATACTTTCACAATTTATATCCGGAGCTAGGGGGGACCAAATTCAATCTCCTCCGTACAGTATAGAAAAATATATACTCTGAATACTCTATCCAAATTTAAGCCACATCCAACGGTTCAATTGTACAAAAAATGCGTCCAATCTAGCTGCCATGAATTATTCAGTAACAAAAACCAGCAGCGAGTTTTAAGATCCGATCTATATTTAGAGAAGTCTGATTCCGATCTCCACCGTTCATAAGTTATATTTATGTGTTACGAATCATGTGTAAAAATATCAACCCGATCCGATGGTTAGATTTTCCGATCTGGCCTCTGCACGAAAACTGTTGCATCTAAAAAACTTGATTTTTCTCCCTTTTTTTCGTTCGCTCTTCGGAAGGAGAATCAAACCCGGCGCCGGCGCCGTGTGCGGCTGAGTGGTGTCCATTGGCGAGTGATGGAGGATTATGGGCTGAAGAAGAAATAAAAAAAAAAGAGAAGATGCGTGAGAAAGAGAGAGAGAATGAAAGAGAGATATATGGAGAGAATTAATGTAATCCTACAATCACGTGAGACGGTTATGGAAAATAAATATTGCAATTATTTTAAAAACTACTGATAAGGGTAGTTTCGTCTTATCAAAGTTGTTGAGGGGGGTTTCACTAATTAAGATTGGACTTTGGGTGTGGGCAAAAGTCTTAAAAGTCAAATGGGTTTAACTCATAATATTTATGGTTTGAGGGGGGTTTTGCATATTTCCCCATAAAATAATTATTACTAAATACAAATATATATTGTATGTAAGTATTTTCAATTTATTGGGATTAGGAAATGGGTGAAGAAGAGCATCAATGTAACAGTGTCAGGCAACAAAAGCATTGTCTCATGCAAATGACGTTTGGTGATGGGTTGCTTCAAATGGGGCCCTAATTTGCCTAATTTAATTTCGTCCCACTTACATTATTTTTTATTTATTTATTTATTATTAAACTGTTTATTTATGGTTCTAAACATCAAATCGTTTGTGAAAATTTATTTATTTATTAATTTTTAAAAGGTCTTATCTCTTAAAAATGAGTGGCAATCATGGACATATATCAACTTGGAGGTCTGTTTTAATTAAAATAAATAAATATATGTGAGAAAATAATTATAATAATAATTAATTAAACAGTTGCACATTTAGGAGGTATGGTATGTTCTGGATTTCAGATTTGGACAAGAGTTGAAGGCATGGTATTTGTTTTTGTCTTGGCCAATTTCAGAATATTTATTTATTTATTTATTATTATTTTTTATTTCCTTATTTTTTTTCTTGGCTTTGGGCAATGAAAATATGATTTTAAAGAATAAATGTACGAGTGAAATTGTTCATCATTTGCTTTTTTTTTTTTTTTTTTTTTTTTCTTAATAAATGCTTTAAGAAAATAAAATAGTTATTTTGGATCTAATATAAAAATATAGGCAAAAAGTAGGAGAACACCATCTAGCTTTCTGCGTGCATGAACATCACTATGTGTTCATAATCATTGCGCATCACAAATATTAATTAGAATATATATACACATATGTATAGATCGTGATTTTGTTTATTTAATGTTTTGGTTTTCTTTTACATACGTGGAATACTATTTGCTTCATGTAATAGGAGACAAATTAAAACCACTTATAAACTTTATTTCAAACACATTAATTAAAAGCATGTATTATGTATATATGTAAAATATTTTTTGGGTCTTAAATTTGCATTAGGCATTTGTATTTTTGTTATATTATATAAATATAGTTAATTCTACTAATATATGTATTATTATTGTTGTTGTTGCTGCACTAACTTCGTTCTCAAGGCTTCCATCCTCTGACTTGATAAGCATTTGAAAGAGTAATGTAAATTACAATGACTCAACAGTCTGTTCTCTGATGCCATAATGAACCAATTCTCATTGAAGGTGAAATTCTCACACTATACGGCTGCTAGTACTCGATCTTAGGACATTACGCCAACTTGAATTAGTTGATCCTATACCCATGCAGAATTATTATTATTATTATTATTATTATTATTATTGCTAGTGAATGAACTCACAACCAACCATATATGTGTATTGGGTAAACATATACTCTCGTATAAGAGCTTGTAAACCATACGAGAGATGTAAACCACATTAGAATAATCATGTGTTACTGGCTCGACCTAGCAACCGTCGGCAAGAGGTTTCGAACCCGTATCAACTTTCACATGCTCAGTTGCTCCAACCAATTGCGGGACACTTAATATTATTACTGTTATTATGGGAGGAGGTGCAACACTTGGTTTGAGGTGGCACATATATAACAAGGGCAAATTACGGCCCCCCTTGAGTTATGGTTAAATTATGAAAACCTTCCTTCTGTTTGGGTAATTACAGTCACCTCCCTCAACTACATATTATCTCACGAAAAGACCGTTTAGAGATAAATTTAGGGATGTTAATTCACTAAAACCGAATTGAAATTTCGGTACGCCAACATCTCATACCGTTTACCGAACTGAATATACGATTTGGTTCGATAAATAACCGAATTATATAAATTTTATGTAAAAATATTTAAAAGAATATAATGGGTGATTATAATTACCCAAATAAGATGGAGTTTTCGTAATTTGATCATAACTCAAGTGTGGCCGTAATTTACCCATATATTATAATAATTAGATATAATAATTAGATAGATAGAGAGAGAGAGAGAAAAGAATCAAAATAAAAAGAGGGCCATTACGAATTCCGACACCAAAAAATGAGCTTCTGTTTGGTGGCTGCCCTTATCAAAAGCTGTGGGCTCCTCTCTCTCTCTACTTCTCATCATATCACCACTCTTACTTACTTCCCTCCCATAATAATATTATTAATAATATTATTATTAATTAAGTTAATCACATCACTAATTAACTAAACTCTTTTTTTTTTTCATTCATTATTAGTTTAATCCTCTCTCTACCAAATCTCACTTGTCAACCCAATCCATATATATAATTTGTTCGAAGGACTTTAAAAAAATTCAAATATATAAATTAGTTTGTGTAGGATTACAGATTACTTGCCTTGTCAAAGTAGGATTCTAGAGTGTTTTTTTTTTTAACATAGCTATCTTGTTTTTCGTTTATATTAAATGTGAAAAATATTATTTGATACAACTAATTACACTTTCGTAGAAAATATTAGAATTTTAAAGAAATCATATTATTTGACATTTCTGCCCTTATTGTTTCTAAAATTCAAATTTTAAGGACATTTGAAAGAAAAATCAATTTATCTAAACAAGCTGACAATTAAGTTTAGTTTGTAAACACATAAACTCATAATTTAAATAACGTTTAAAGCTGATTTTAATCACATTTGCGAAGCACCCCAACATTTAGAAATAAACAACTATTTTGAACTTTATTCACAATCAACATGTGTGTGGGAATCCAACTTCCCATCATATGTTCCCATTCTTTCAACAATTTATTTTAATTATTGTTTTTAGGACAGCTTTAATTAGACACTTTTGATTTTCTTTTACTTGTCATTTTTCTCATTACATCACATTTCATTTCATTACATTACATTACATTACAAAAAACACACACACACAAAGAGACAACTCAACTAGCATACATACATGCACAGTATACTGCCTGATTTTTTCTTTGAACAATTTAAGATGTGGTTGATTACATTTTTACCCCTCTTCGATAGTTTCATTTCGTATTACTTTTTTTTTTCCATGCTAGTAGTATTCGAGCGTAAAATCAATATCAATCTCTAAAAAAATTGTTACTCTTTTTTTTTTTTTTTTTTTTAATTTTGCTCTCATCAACTCAAATAACTATATGCATATAATCAGATGAATTAAAGAAATATTAAAAAAACGAAAAAGAAAAAAAACAAAGAAAAGTATGTGTTATAATAGGCACGAATATTCTTAAATCTAGCCCAAGCCCTATTGTTTTATTGTACAATTTAGGCACACCTTAGCCCATTATACACCAAATCTTTCATCTTGGGCTCTTGGCCTAAAGTGGTGACTTGGTTTGTTTTTGTTTAAACGAAATTGGGTTGAAATTTGGAAAAAAAAAAAAAAAAAAAAGAAGAAGAAGAAGAAAAAGAAAAAAAAATGCCTAATTTCCCTTTAATTAAAAAATAATAATTTTTTTGTTTTCAATTTATTGATCTGATATATCGGTTTGACCCGCCTCAAACTGCCACACAATGCTTCGAGCCGCCTTACCGTCCAATATCCAATTTTTTAAACCGTCTCAGTAATATCGTAAAGGTTTACGGCCGATATTTAGAACACTGATTAATGCACTTATTCGATTGATATGTCATATGAGCTGCTTTTTTTTTTTTTTTTTTTTTTTTTTTTTGTATTTTTGCTTTATGAAATGCCTTTCAAGTGTCAATTAATGGACTAAGAAAAAATGATGCACTACCTTTCCATAACCTCAACTAAAAATCTTTGCCAATCCAATTATCCAACTACTCAAAAAGTCTCCTTAAATGAAGTTTTTATCGTCGGTGTAAAGCTTGACTGAGTGATTTCATGGAGCAGACTTATTCCATTTCCTTAATCACAAATATTTCCAACTTTTATTGGTTATACTCACTTTGGAATAAACGTTTATTGCTTTGGTAAAAAAATATATAATTTTGGGGATTTCCTCAAATCCTCCATTATTGCTTTGGTAAAAAAAGAATTATTTGTCTGGTAATAAAATAAAATAATATTTTAACTTTTAGCCAATAAGCAGCAGAAATACCAAAACACTTGCTCAAATACTTCCACACACCACACACACGCCCACACAATCTCATCTCACACCTCTATCACCTTCCTCACCATTCTTCTCTCTCTCTCTCTCTCTCTCTCTCTCTCTCTCTCTCACTCTCTGCAATTCTTCCCCAAATAATTCCGTCAAAAATGGAACTGAAGATTTGTTAACAATCACCAAATCAATCGTATCGGCAAAAATGCAAGTGTTGGCTTTCCAGAGGTCTCAAATTGTACTATCAAGTAAGAATGGCGGCACCAATCAGATTCCCCCAATTTCTGCTCTGATTCATTCACTCCCCTTCTCTCCTTTCCTTCCCATAAGAGTTCGTCCGCCGCGCTCGTATTCCTGTGAGTTCTTCCTTTTTCATCCTGTTTTTACTTTTTGTTTAGCTCACGCGCCAAATCATTGCCTAGATTCTTCCCCGGTGAAGTATAATTCGGAAAACATGAGATTAAAAATTGAATGTATATACTTGTATTTGTTCAATTGCTTGTATTTAGGTGTTTGGGGATTAGTTACAGTAGCACGTAGGCGAGATTCGTTTGAAAGAAGCACCAATTGGATGGATTTGATTGTGCTTATTAATTTTCGATTTTATTGAAAACGTTGAACATCTATAAATTGGATGAAGTCCTCGTAAAATAATTCACATCCGGGTTAATTATTTGAGTCTACTTTTTTTTTCAGCATCGATTTGGATTGAGTATTCATTTCGGCTAAATCCGTCTCTGTAATATTCCTTCAGCCAGTGCTGCATAGGGATGGAAATTGGAATATAATTTTCGATTTTTATTTCCGCTGATTTCGATCTGAAAATTTACAATTTTGAAATAATATTTTTCATTCCGAATTCCGATTCCAATTTTTTCCGAATTTGTTTGGATCGGAATTGGAATACATTGAGATTCCAATTTCCGATCCGATTTTAATTTGCAAAAATAATTCCGAAAATTGCACTTTTAATATCAGTATTATCATGCATTTTATATGTAAGGTGACTAAAAATTTATAATCTTCCGAATTCTGCCGATTCCGATCCAAAAATTTGTAATATTGGAACGAGTTTATATTTAATTCCAATTTCCGAAATTCCAATATCCGTTTTTTTTCTGGAACAGAATTGGAATTAGTTTTCACTTCCGAAAGTGCTAAGTTTCCACCCCTGGTGGTGCCAATCTCAATGAGTAACTTATTTGAGGTCATGACCCCATTGCATTTTAACGTCATGTTTTTATTCATTTATTCAGAAATTCATATATTCCTAATTTACTCGATAATGACGAAAAACTGAATGGTGCGATTGATCGAATTGCATCCAACACCTCTACGATCCACTTTTGGGTCTGAATTAAAGGGTTTTATTAACAGATGGAGGTAAAAGTTTGCTATATGTAGGCATTGAATCACGCTCGTCAAGATTACTTGCTTAGTTTTTAATGATATATTTAACTTTTTTCCATTAAAGACTGCTAGAGAAACATTGTATTACACTCACTCAAGAAGGTGCATTTTGTTATATTTTATCTCTTAAAGCAATGATGATGACAGCTTCCTATTTTTCAGTACGATGCAAGGTATCATCCAAGTTGGTTTTGCGGAGCAGAACAATAAGAGCGCATGCATTAAATGTCGGAACGGGATCTGGTGGCTATGAAGATACGCATGAAAATAACAACCAAAGTTCCTCTCTTGATGGACAACAACATAGTGATGCTTCATCGAAAATGTAAGTATCTCTAATTTGCTCAATGAGTAACTATGTGTGTGTATTCCACATGTATACCTTTGCGATCGCATGCTTTTTGATACTCGAGAAAGTTGTTAGCTTTAACGTATGCATAAAGGTAGAGTTGATCTTATTTTGCCTTTGACTTAGACATATAATTCATTAGCAAGTTGGAAAAGAAAAGGCTTTATTAAGAAGAGTTGAGCGGTTTATCAGTTGAAAATAGGGAGTTTCTGTGAATTTGGACTTGTGTGTACGTAATACAATAGTGTAAAGAAAATTATGTAGAAAACTAGAATATAAAGATGATTGTATCTTGTATCTAGACCCATATTTATAGTTTGAGTGAAGCATATTTATCAACTATAAGAACAAAAGTCAAACAAGTTATGTAAAGTTCATTTCGGATGTTATTGAGATATAAAAAATAGGATAAATTACGGCCACCCCCTGAGGTAAGGTCAAATTGCGAAAAAAAACCCTCTTGTTTGGGTTAGTACAACCACCCCTCAACTATAAATCTTCTTACATGTTCATCCTTGCAGTGTCAAATTAAGTGGAATCTTCTAGATTATGGGGAATATTTTCCAGCTTGAACCCGATTTACCCTATTTGAACTCCACATTTTGAAACAAGATGTGTTGGCTTGTAAATATCAGATTGTGGTGCAACAGAAACTGTATTTTTGCTCAAACGAGTACACACTAGAAAACATTCCACGGAATCTAGAAGATTATGTTGAATTTGATGCCACAAGGGTGGACATGTAAGAAGATTCATAGTTGAGGGAGTGGTTGTGATTACCCAAATAGGAGGGGTTTTTTTGTAATTTGACCTTACCTCAGGGGTGGCCGTAATTACCCTAAAAAATAAGTTTAGAAAATCAAGTTAAAAATCAAAAAGACTCTGGTGCATGCCTTATTTTTGCCTTGTCATAGATTTGCTGCAAATGGGCCGAATTAGATGTTGTGTACTCTGTTCTAACTAATACATTTAACTTCTCATGGCAGTTTGAGTGGTGCATCTCCTGATCGAATTCCTTATCCTTTATCTATAGCTTTTGTGGTGTGTGCATGTGCTTTGGTATTTTCACTTGTTGTCTTCACAAAAGGACCTTCCTCGATCTTGCCAGCTCTTGCAAAGTCGGGCTTCACCGCCGCGTTCTCTTTGATTTTTGTTTCTGAAATCGGAGACAAGGTAAATTATTGCGTAAAGGGGGTGTTTTTTTTTATGTTTTATCTTGCAGCGATCTGTATGCAAGCATTAAATTCATCTCTAGATATTAAATAATCTAATGAAACCCAATTGTATTATCGGGTCTTGGAAGATCCAAAATAAAAACATGCCTAAAAATCAAGATGAACAATAACATAATATTTGCAGGCCGACCCGGCAAGTTATTGGGGATACCAAACATTAAACAAAGTCCAATTATTTTTTTAATAATGGCTAATCTCCCCAACCAAACGAGGCCTTAGGGGGTCTATACACAATTTCCCAATAAACCAAATCAAGATGATGGGTTAATCTACCTAAAATTTATGGGTCGGCCCGAAAGTTATTAGGCTAATCACTAATCAAACACCAAAGAAATGCTCAGTAAGAGATTATTTTATACACCTTCCTTGTTAGTAACTGCCTTAGTATGTTTTTGAGTTATTATCTTTTATTTTATCATTTAAGATGACCACACCACCCTCCCTCCTTTAAGTTAGACTAATTTAATTATTTTTTTAATTTAACAGACTTTTTTCATTGCCGCGCTTTTGGCCATGCAATACAAGAAACTGCTGGTACGATTCCTTGTCTCTCCTATATGTGTTGCACGTTTTGCATGTTTTGTGTTGCTTTCAATTTGCCTCCTGCTTCAGCTAATGTATGTATGTTTTATACAGTCACTTGACTCAAATACACATGAATTTAAGTTGATGAATTTTCACGTGTGTGAGATTCTTCTTCTGTTGTGCATTTTATGAGGTCTTTGATTTTCAAAATTTCCAATCTTTTATAGTTGCATATTCACTTTTCTATAGTGCCTTTTGGACGATTCTTTGCGAAGGATTTCTCTCCTTTCTCAAAATTCATGCCAATTTGTCGTTGATACTGCTGAAACTATGATCGGTAATAAAAAAAAAGTAGAGATTAAATCGGTAACCATGTTTTTATTAACTGTTGACAGGTTCTTTTGGGATCAATGGGTGCACTATCCCTTATGACAATCCTGTCTGTCGTAATTGGTCTCATATTCCATTCCGTACCGTCTCAATTTCAAACAAGTAAGCAGTAGTTCCTTGCCGTAAAAATCGCATTCAGCGCAATTTTTGTAATTATGTTAAGTTGAATACATACACTGTTCAATGTATACGAAAGAGACAGCAAAACTGAGATATATATTATTTATCTCGTAAATCTTGAATATACGTCTTCAAAAAAAAAAAAAAAAAAAAACAACGTGCAAGAATCAACTCCTGTCTGAAGTAAAAATAACATGTTGATTATCCAAAACACAGCCTTGCCAATCGGGGAATATGCAGCTGTAACGCTTTTGATGTTCTTCGGCCTTAAATCTATCAAAGATGCATGGGACCTTCCATCAGCTGCAGCTAAATCTGCTGAAGAAGGAAACCAAGAATCTGACGAATTTACCGAAGCTGAGGAGCTTGTCAAAGTTAAGGTGCTCTTTCTAATAGCCACATTCTAATCGGTTTCTTCTTTAATTTTTTTTAAACAAGCTTACGTAATCTAATCAAGTTTATCATTTTTTTTCACAATTGATGCTCTTACAGGCTTCAAAGAAGCTCTCGAATCCCCTCGAAATTATCTGGAAGTCATTTAGCCTCGTATTTTTCGCTGTAAGCATTTTTTCTTGGGGATTATATTTGAATGCGATGTAATATAATCTGAATCACAAGTATTTCATTTATTATTAAATATTTTGTCGTTCTTATTTTTTGTTTTGGTGTGTGTTTAGGAATGGGGGGACCGTTCAATGCTGGCAACAATAGCTCTTGGTGCAGCACAGGTATCATTTTTCCGGAACTTTTGCGACTAATTCAATCATTTCTGTTACTCAAAATTTGAGCTCTAATCATTATTTTTTTTATTTATTATTTATTTTTTTGAACTCGTTATATTCTACAGTCACCTTGGGGAGTAGCAAGTGGAGCCATTGTAGGTCATCTCTTAGCAACAACTATTGCAGTACTCGGAGGCGCATTTCTTGCAAACTACATTTCTGAAAAACTGGTAAAAAAAAAAAAGAAAACTAATAAATATCCCTTAATTGAAATTAGCGGTTAATGTTTTCACACTTATATCCTTTTTTTATTTATTCATTTTTTTAATTTTTAATATAAATCAGGTGGGATACATTGGTGGAGCATTGTTTTTAGTTTTTGCAGTCGCCACGTTTTTCGGAGTGTTTTAACGAAGGACTAGAAAAGTGGGAAGGGAATACTTTTTCAGCATTCGTAAGAGCTGAAATACCGAAGATTTGCTCGTGTAAGTTAGCCTCAATTCATTGGTTAATAGGGGATTAATATTGTGAAGGTGATCATTTTATTTATTGTTGTAACATTTTTTCTTGTAAAAGTCTTTACACGAGTAGAATAGAACATGTAGGAGCACTTGTTGATATAGTTCATTAACGAGGAATCGAAGACGTAAATTTTATGATCAGAAAATGTTAAGTTTGCTTCGTAGATTTTCTGCTTGTTTCTGAGTTCCTTTGGTTATACGGCTGATTCACACATTATTTATTTATTTTTTAACGGACATGATTTCGTGAAACTTTCACGATTCAGTGAACGTTGAGTTGTTCATAGGGTTTCCAACTCTAGATTTGAAATTTTTCTCTTTTTCGGTCAAAAGAAAAAAAAAATAGATCCGAAAATTAAAAAGATTATAAACAATCGTTCATTTTGAATTTCAAAAGTCTCAACTTTGTCGATTTTTTTTATTTGGATTAAAAATTGGAAGATGTAGGAGATTTCGATTTCGTTCCATGTTTGATCTCTAAACAATCAATTGTTTTTAAAAAAATGCATTGTTATATGATACTGATATTATTATTTTTATGTTATAAGTGAATAAAAACTATTTTTTTTTTTTAATTATGGCAATTTTGATTAACAAAAAATAAAATAAAAAAAATTGTGAAATGTTTTTCCTTCCTATTTGAAAATTTGATTTTTAATTTTTTTCTCACGAAATTGGAATTAGTTTTTTGGACAATAAAATTGGAAGTTTTTCGAAAGTGATATTTTTCAATTCGACTCGTCCGAGTTCAACCAATATCTATGAAATTTTGAAAATTGGTGATTGCAGTAAAGTTGATGAAAACTTGCTTAAAATTGGCAATGATGGTAGTGAACTCTTAGAAATTAACAATGAATTGTTTCCATGGATTTTTAGATAATAAGATGTAAGGGTATTTTTGTAAAACGATTGAGCGAGTAATTTTAAGGTGGTGTTTGCAAAAAAAAAATTAAAAGCAGAAGTTAGTGATTGTGAGCTAGGTTGGAATTAAATGCTTATTTCTAAAAGTTTTGGGTGTTTGCAAGTTAGCTGGAAAATCAACTAAAATAGAAAAAATAGGGATATACTTTTAAAATTATAGCATAAAACAACTTATTTTAAGAGAATTAAAAGCAAAAACTTATTTTGCAAACACCTAAAAACAAATTTTGCGCATAAATTAGCTCATAATTTATTTTTAAAAGCATTTACCAACACCACCTAAGCCGATAAAAATCCGCTATTTCTTATTGTTCATGAAATCGCATACATGGACCATGTTGATTATTAAATTATTACACAATAATAAGAAGGAAATAATCTTTAGTATAATCTTAAACCTCAAGAATGAAACTATTCATATAAATATCATATGATTTATGTTTTCCCTCTTCATTTCAATGTCCCTATTTTCGAAAGGGTTTCTTTAAAAGTGAAAAACGATTCATGAATAGTGATGGGTGCTAATTTGGCAGGTTTAGACCGGACGAGCAAGTATGCGTTTGTTGAGCTTAGACGGCTCAATAAATGATAGTTTAATAGAAGTGGGCTAGAAACTCGCCTATAAGAAGCCTGATAGTACGAGGCCCACCAACAGATAGTTCGCAAAAGGTGGATATTGACAATGGTTCAAATTGCATTAGAAAGAACAAAAAGAATAGGTGACGAGCTGGCCGAGGAGACGTTGGAAGGACGGATTTGAAGATATCATCCGAATATGAATAAGGAAAATATACAAATTAGACGCTATCACTGTGAAATTAGCACAAATCCTGTGCGAAAATTAGCATGAGTAAAAAAATAAAAAAAAGAACCATTCAAAGAAAACCTACTACATAAACAAATGCATAAAACCCTCTAGCGGTATGTTGGTTACAATCAATATTACTCTCTTCTCAAACTCTCTATGTCTTTAATATTTCCCCGTTCATTGTTTGATCGCCGTTGGTCCCAAGTCCGACGTCCGGTGAGCTTTCCGACTTTTAAAAGGAGTAGGATTTAGAGGTACATCTTTATTGATTGTGTTTTAAGATTATTTTCTCAGGTGAAAAATGGGAAGAAAAGAAAAATAGAAACAATAATATAGTGTGGGTAGAGGTCTAATTAATTAAGGCAAGTTGCAAAAATGGGGAGACCCACACACTAGATAATGTAGTAATTTGTAAAGAGGTTGTAGCTTGCAATAGCATGTGGCTACTGAATTATAATGACTGCAGTTTAGGAGACAAAGCTATGCCTCTTCCTACTTTGCCAATATGGAGACATCTCCAATGTGACCATTACCTTTTACTTTGTTTTCTATCTTCTCATTTCTCTTTTCTTTATTCATTCATTCTGTTAGCCTGGGTTTGACAGCAATTGTCCACGTGGTGGAAGTTATGGTATTGACGGTCCACAATCAAATGGTGTTGGCGTTAGTGTGTGTTGAATGCACTATAAGGCTATGGTTTGCGCCTTTCCTAACACCAATTGGTTTTAGAACAACTAGTAGTGCCTGAGGTACTACAGGTGGTATCAGAGCCAATGTCACGGGTTTGATTCGCAGCTGTAGCAATTGATGGGGGGGAAATTGTCAGCCTGAGTTTGACAACAATTGTCCACGTGATAGAGACTCGGGTACGTGCGGCCCACAATCGAATACCGTACTATAAGGTTAGGGTTTGCGGGGGAGATTATCAGCCTGAGTTTGGCAGCAATTGTCCACGTGGTTACGGGCGGCCTATAATCGAATGTCGTACTGTAAGGATAGGGTTTGCCCCTTTCCTAACATCAATTAATTTTACGAAACTAGTAACGCCTAAGGTCCTTTCATTCATATTGTTGATCGAGTGCAAAAGTTATGGTAATTCTCATCCAAGCATACTCAGAATCATAATGTCATTTCATTCACAACTTCAGTCCATTAATATTAGCTGAATTTTACTTTTTTCTTTTTGATAATTGATAATTTAATATTAGTTCACTAGGTCAAAGCACAACACTGGCGACGAAAAAGACGAATTTGCGATCAAAATTCCATGTTTACGACGAATTTTTTCTGTCGCATGATCGTAAAAAATCATTGCATACTCTTGATTAGGGGTGGTTTCGGTACGGTTGCTGGACATTTTGATCAAAAAACTCCATGCCGGTATTATCATGGTATTGAAAATATAAACCTGTTACCGTATCATATTGTAGCAGTAGAATACCAATATTGTACCAAATGTACTGATAACTGATATTTCATGTGCTAATATTCGATATATACACCATGGAAATCAATAGGCGATAATTATTTTCCAGCCCCTGGTGCCGATTCAGGAGAGAAACTCACAAATACAAGTTAGGTAATGTGGGGAATTTAAACTTTTATAGTACAATTAAGTACTCACATACATATATCATAAATGAAAATGATGAAGGTACTTGTAATTAAATAAATATTATGGAATTCGGAACCTAGATTTTCAATGTGGGATTACTCCTCGTGGATGTTGGTCTTATGGGCCTACTCCTATTTGGGCCAATTGATTCGGGTCAAATCAATATTATATTATTTATACATAAAGGTGGTCCCCACTTTAGGGGTTTAACAATTCACCTTTGTAAATTGTGAAATGTACAACGACTAGAATTTAATTTAGGGAATAGGAGTTTGTCGACTGATCAAGTATATTATTAAGTGGGTGTTTGGCTAAGTTTATTTTAAACAGCTGATAAGTTTTTACATCTGATAGAATATTTTAAGAGCTGATAAGCTGTTATATTTTATTTTTAGGATTAATTTTTAGAGTGTTTGGATAATGAACTTATTTCCTATTTTTAGTCATTATAAGATCTTAAATAAAAAGGTGGGGTATAGGTACTTTTTTAAAATGACAAATGGCAAAAAGGCCCATCACATGAAACTTAAATGCATTTTGGTCCACAAAAAAAAAACAGTCTCTCAATTAAACCCATCCCCATGTCTTTAGTCTAAAATACCCTCAATAATATAATTCTTATCAATTCCACCCATTATGCTCTAACTTCCTTAATATTACACATTAACCCCGGATTTAAACAAATATATCACATTAACCCCCAAAACTTTTTTTTTTTCAGAAAATAATTTTTTTTCTGGCCAGTTTCCGGCGTTGACTTTTTTTTTTTTTTGAAAACTTTTTTTTTTCTTGAAATTTTTTTCCGGCCAGTCAACCACCGTTGACCGCCGGTCTGCAGCGTTGACTTTTTTTTTTTTTTGAATTTTTTTTTCTTAGAAAAAATACATTTTAATTAATATTACTGTTTCGGCTACTAAATTACTGTCTCGGACAGTAATATTATTGTTTGGGACAGTAATATTACTGTTTGGGACAGTAATATTATGAATATTATTTTCCCGAACAGTAATATTATTAATATTATTTTCTAAGACAATTAAATTACTTTGGAGACAGTAATTTAGCATCCAATGCAGTAATATTAATTAAAATATTATTTTTTAAGAAAAAAAAAGTCAATTACCAGTTAAATTACTGTCTCCGACAGTTAAATAACTGCTGAAGACAGTAATTTAGCAACGAATACAGTAATATTAATTTTTTTTTTAAGAATAAAAAAGTCAATTAACAGTTAAATTACTGTCTCCAACAGTCAAATAACTGCTGGAGACAGTAATTTAGCAACGAATACAGTAGTATTAATTAAAATATTTTTGAAGAAAAAAAAAGTCAATTAACAATTAAATTACTGTCTCCGACAGTTAAATAACTGCCGGAGACAGTAATTTAGCAGCCAAGATAGTAATATTAATTAAAATATTTTTTTAAGAAAAAACAAAATAAAAAAAAAAAAAAATAAAAAAATCAACGCCGGAGACCGGCGGTCTCCGGTGGTGGCGGGTCAAAATTGAAATTAGGGTTAAAATTGGTTAATTGATGAAATTGAGCTAAATTGGGGTGTAAATCATGAAATTGGAGTTAAATTGGGTTTCAATGAATTGGGGGTAATTTTGGTATATATAAAATGATTTTCCTTATTTGCAAATAAGTTTGAATGGACTGGATTTATTTGAAAGACAAAAAAGTTGGATGTCCCTCTTTTAATTAAGTGTCCTTGTCATGGGCCTATTTGTCATTACCCCTTTTTAAAAAGATCTTATTTGCTCTTCAATAGCTTATTTAAAAAAAAAAAAAAAGATATTTTGTTAAAAATTTACCAAACACTTTGGAAGAGCTTATAAGCTCTAAAACATCTTATAATCTCCTTTTAACATTTTATAAGCTAAGCCAAATACCCTATAATTACTTCAGTTTTTTTTTTGTCTCAAATTATTTGTCATTTTAGAGTTTCAATAAAGTATTAATTGCATTTCTATTAATTTTGCCACTTGTTACTCTTAACTAGTTAATTAAATAATAATTAATGACAAGGGTATTTTAGTATTTAATATTTAATTTTGTATAATCTATGCATATTTATTGACTATCTTAATATACGTGTAACTACCCAAAACGACATATAATAAGGGACGGAGGGAGTAAATTTCAATTCTTTTTGTGAGTAGTAGGAATCGAAACCCTGCTCTACAGGTTGCCAGCAAGGCCGACATAAAATTAAAACCGTAATGTATGGATTGATTTTTAGCAAAACGAATTCGTGTTTGTTAAAGTTTCAAGACGAAAAATATTCACAAAATAACTTTTAAAGTTTCTCGAAACATATTTGACTGCTACGTAAAAACAAATTTGGCTAAAAACAAACTAACGTCACTTTATTTTTTTTATTTTTTTTCCGCAATACATTTTTCCAACACTTTTAAAGATGATTCACTATTATAGTGTATTTTATCTCGTCACAAATTATGAACAAACATTACTTTCCTTCTAAAATTATTCCTTCAAAACATATTTCGCCAAAATAAAATGAAAATAACTTCCAAAACAGATTCGAATATTTCCAACATGTTTTTTTACAATTGAACACACACAGACACGAAGTTGATGACCAAGAGCTGTGTAATTATACAAGACACTAATAAAAATAAGTTGTGACGATTTATGTACTCAAAGGTAGAAAATCAACGCGCTCCCTGTAGGTTCGATATCTTGACTCTTATGAGTCTACTTTATTACATCATCTTCATACTCCTTCAGTCCCATATTATATGTCTTTTTAGAAAGTTTTTCTTGTCCCAAATTATTTATCATTTTAGATTTTCAATGCATCATTAATTGCACTAATTTCAATTTTACCCTTTATCACTCCTAATTAGTTAGTGGTAAGACAATTAATATAAAGGATATATTAGTAATTTTCTATATTTTTTTACTATAATCTATACACATTTATTGATTTTCTTAATATATAAGCAACAACCCAAAACGTCATTTAAATTGGGATGGGGGAGTATATATATATATATATATATATATATATATATATATATAGATATATATGTATATATATA